TGAGTCCTGTCACTGGATCTAACAAACACCTTTATCCACTGTGCCATGTGTCCTTAAGGACATCTGTGTATGAATTTCTGGACATATAAACTTAATGTCTTCAGCAACCATTTTTTACCAGTGCTCATATTGTCTATATTTCAATATAGACAGATACTAAAAAGCATGGATTTTAAATAAACCTTCAATGTGACTTGAAGCTGCATCATTTATTTGGGGAATAATAAAACAATTGACCTTATTTAAAAATGTTAAATTATAGATTATGCTTAATAGCATTTACTAAGGTACCATTACAACTAGTCTGGTAGGTCATAACTACAAAGTAGTGAGTTCAATCCTCACTAGTTATCAATGTTCAGTTATATCCTCCAAAAAGCAACTGCAGACATCACAATTGCTTTGTCTCTTATCAACTGACAATTTTCAATGTATTTTAAATGTTATTACTTTTCTACATTTGATGCAGTGTGCACGATTGTTTTCATCTATGTTTTTTTTTATTTTGTGTGTATGGGTTGGTGCACCTGGGGTCTGCTGTCCAATTTCATTATGCATTGCACAATGACAAGAATAAATAAATATAAATTTCATGGGCCAGGTTTCCTATATTTTAATACACAGGGATGTCAAGGCATATATATGAAAATTCTTCTTGTGACACATATCAGTATTATTTTATCCCGGTAGCTGCAAATTCAAAATGTGTGAATATTGACCAAAAACAATATCAAGTGGACACAATGAAGTTGATTTTGTAGCAATTTCAGCAGCCTTGTCATAATTTTTTTTTGTATAACCCCTTATTAATGAAACCTTGTTCATTATAATCCAGAGACCAAGGAACAGTCCATACAATGATGGCACTTGGGTTCTCAATGGCCAAGGAAATTCAATATAGTAACCGTTTTTGGAATAAGGAATGTCTATTGATGAGAACGGCCAAACAGTTAACCAACGTAAGTTAGAGTAATATATGTATTAAAATTTGTGTTGAATGAAGGAGATGCAGTAAGATGTTCTTTTCTTGCAGGACAATGCACCTGATATGGGGCTGGGAAGACAGAGGTTTTGAAGAATTTACATTTTAGCCAGCCACTCAAACCCATATTTTCATCAGCTATTCCTTGTTTCCAAACCTTAAAAGGAATTTGAAAGCCATAGTAGTGTATTTTGTTTGTTTTTCTAATGGTCAAATATAAAAAAAGTTTTTAAAAGAGTCAAAGAAACTGGAGAAATGATATGTCAAAGCTGTTGAACTTGCAGTGTGAATAAGTCTGAAATAGCAGAGCTTTAGGTCATTCCATTCTTAGTTAGGTTGAGAACTTTTCAGCACCCCCTCATAGATACTAGTTTATTCATGCGGTTAAAAATCATGGCATAGCTCATTAATTCTTTGCTATTATTAGAAGGGTTTTACATGGGAGTCTTTAAATATATATTTGTTTACAATTATTATTGCTGTACTGATTTTTCATGGAGTCAGTCTTTTCATCTCCCTATTCTGTAAACATCTTGCAACAATCCATCATTGACACCTGGGGTCTCCAGTGCAAGGTAGATACTTCTTAAAAAAAAAAAAAAAAAAAAAAATACACTTGAGATATATAAGCTAAGGAAAATTATAAAAGTCTTCATTTCCCCCTAAAAAATCAGAATGCTTATTTTAGAGTTAAGATGTTGTATGTACGCGCGCGCACGCACGCACGCACACACACACACATATTTTTTTTTTTTCTTTGGAGGGTGGGGGAGGAAATATGTATGACAAAGTGGAAAAAGTTTTTGTATGACATATTTTGTCCTTTAGGGCATCATTGGATTAGGTTTGTTTATGTTGATGTGTATCAACATATATGAACCTAGTCCAATGAAGAATTGTTCTTAATATATAAAAATGTATATATCATTACCCTCTCTCCCCTATATATATATATAATTCCCAGAAGAAATGGCATCAGACAAAGCTTCCAGATAACTCTTCGGGTCTAAAGCTTACACACGTGTGTGCGTGCGTGCGTGTATGTATGTCAAATGCCTCTAAATAAAGCTCCACAATAGCAATAATAAAACAGTAGCTTATTTTACTAGTTTACTTGGGTCATCCAAAAATGACAGCAATATCTATGATTTTATAAGTACAATGCAAAATTCACTTATATGTGAGAAAAAAGAATTTAAAGATAAATTCTATTTCCACAACAGCTTCAAAAATCACCCATCTCTATATAGATGCAATTTTATATATATGAGAGAGAGAAAGATATGCTGAACTGACTCCCAAGAGGATGCTTCTTTGGTCACTACAATCTTAATCTGTGCAAGTCTAGTTGTTACAGCTTATTCAGATTTGTGTGAAGATAACTGTAACTCTGTAACCCTCTACCTTGAGTAATCCTTGGGCCTTGTATAGGGTGAACATCATTGTAAAAAAAAAAAAAAGAAAAAAAAAGAAAAAAAAAAAAAACTATGGCTATTAATATTTTAGTTTCCATTGTTCCACTGGTGAACCATATTTTAAGATTTTTTTTTTTTTTATACTAGGTGAGCTTTAATTTTGATTATTTTCGTGGTAATATATTTAGAAAAGGCTAAAATATAATATATGCTTTACAATTTATATTCATCTGGTATAAAAAATGTTTTAAAATATGTTCCAACAATGGATACTAAAAAACCAAACAGACCTCTTCAGATTTAAAGGGACCAGATAATACTCTCTGATTTTCATTATAAGTAAAACACCAGGGAAAAAAATTGGATTAAGCACCAGATTATAAGAGGTAATTAATCCCAAGAATTTTTTGTGAATTATTTGAAAAAGGTCAGGAAAGAAATTGTTCTATTTTTATTTATGCTTTCAGTATCTCAAGTCTGCTCATCCTTACGCATCAATATCAAGTGAATTTTTCAGGGTTATTAAGTATCATTCATATGGCTCATTTCCCAAGCTTACACAAAGGTTTGCTCTTTATAATAATGAAAAGACCAGAGGTAGGTAATTACTCTTACTGGAAGCAGAAATGCCGACCTCTGTCTAAGGGAAAAACCCTAAGCTAAAGATTCTTGGCTGGATTGGCACTGCAGAAGCAACTCTTCTCAAAGAAGAACTTGATTTTTGCTATTTGGTTACAAAGACTTCTTGCATTCCAGTCAACTTGATCTTCAAAAATTTAAATGTAGTGTCAAGCATTGTCATCTTTTTCTTCGAATCCTTTTCTTTTATTGCTCTCTCTCCTTAAAGATTTTTTGTTTCTTAAATTCTTTCACATGCAGTAGTAAAAAAGCACTTATGCCCTTTTAGAATCCCATTGACAATTTGCGTGTTTGCATTATTTGCAAATTGTGGATTTATTTTAGCGAACCTTTCAATAATGTAGTTTAGCTTGATATAATTTAATATAGATTGTGTTTTCTAGTGTAATAACACACACACCTCAAGAATCATTTACTATTGTTTTGTCAAGGCACTAGAGTAATGTAGCTTATTGTCTATCCTCTCTTGGATAGTTTAACCCTTTAATGGTAGGCATCATCAATCAAGGTTTTATTGAAGATCACTGAATATTCTCTATTTTTGAATTAAACTTTTCAATGATACAGGCATCATTCATGAATGATTCTAGTCTAAAAGACTAACTCTAGGATTCATAAGATTACATCATTTCCTGGAGTATTTGCTTGCACATAAAACTGGAAAACCAAACCAAAGATGGTGCTATGTCTGCATGTAAACTTCCTGAAGAGAAAAGAGGCAAAAAAAATGATGAGAATTTGGTTCAGAGATTACACAACTCTATTGTGCAGAGAATGCTTTATAGATTATTAAAGAACTTAGGGATGTGACATTTGTTTTATTTTCATAATTTAAAAATTCTAAAATATATTTTTTAGATTCTTTGCGTGTAATTAAAGCAAAAATAAGCATAAAAATTATCCTTAAAAAAAAATTTTTTTTTTTTTTTTTTTATCCATTTGGCAAGCAAGTTTTGTGCAAGTTTTTCTCCCCCTTTTAAGAGTTAAAGACTCAACTGAGCAGCTAGGAACAGCTAGGAACAGCTGTTAGCTCAGATGCTACTGGCTAGCATAATAAACACTAAAATATTGTAAAACATTAAAGCTAACAATTTAGTGGGTGGGGTTAGTGGATCTGTTTTTCTTGTTCTAATTTATAAATTAAACCAGTAAGTATTAATTACATCTAAAACAAAGAATGATAAGATTGTTGGCAAGGAAAAGAAGAAATTCAATGTAATTGATAATCAAGAAACATGAAACCAGCCACATGTTTCTAATGAAGCTCAATGCAAAATACCACACATTAAATCATAAGTGGGGCAATGAAGAAGAGTAAAATCATCTTCAATTCAAATAGATACAACTAGATAAGTGTGCTGCCATGATAGAAATTAAAAGGGTTATACAAGTAAATCACTAAGTCCATAGCCTAATGGTAAAAAAAAAAAAAAAAAAAAGCATTTATTTTACACAAATATTTTTCAACAATCTCCTTCCATATTAATATATGTGGTAAATATTAATTTCTTAGATTAAGTGTGTTATACAGTGAAAATTTCAGTTCAAAATTCAGCTATGGACTTATTGACGGACCCTTGTGTTGAAATTGTTATGAAAACAAACTATGGATTTGATCAGTACAGCATTTTATTTTTTTTGTTTTTTTTAATTGATCCTATTAGTAAAAGGTTCACTGTATTTTAAGGCCTTGAAATCTATTATGAAATTTCAACATACAGGAATCCCATTACAAATGAAGGCCAACAGTAACAAGTTGAAGAATGATTAATTGGCGGTGGGGGATAGTTTTTTTTTTTTCATAAAAGCCGCAGAGAAAACTTGTCTCTTTTTACTCATTTTATGTACAATTGTTTGGATTTCCTAAAAGTTGTGTTTATAGGTTACATGTAAGCAAGACATAATTTAAAAAAAAAATTAAAAAAAAAAAATGTTAATCTTTGATGCCAAACTAAACGCAAATATTATAGGGTGATAGTTTGGGGGGGTATCCGGAGAGAGAGAGAGAGAGAGAGAGAGAGAGAGAAAAAGAGAAAAAAAAAAAAAAAAAAAAAGAAAAGAAAGATATCAGTCAAGTCACTACCAACAATAAAAGTGTTAATTCACTTGGAGGGGGGAGGGGTATTTCTAATAAGTTTTAATGAGACGTTAAAACTTGTTAGAAATTAGATACAAATCAGGTTTTACTTTTTTTTTTTTCATTTAAATATCTTTGAAGCCATGTTTTTATTGTCTACAGACAATGAAATATGGAAAACATTAAGAAGGTGTATCACTTTGATGTTTAGATAACAAATAAGCAATTGTTTCTATAAAGGACAAAAATAAAGTGTGATGAAACTTGAACACCTCAGAAATTCCTGTTGGAAAAAGCCTTGTACTAGGCTCAACTTCATCTCCCCAGCAATGAGGATTGATTTGTAAGCACAGCTTGTGTAGAAATAATTAATATTTAATTCAGAATGGAATCCTTACCAAAGTTCCCCAGCAGTCTTGCTAGCAATTATATGTGGGAGCCCGAATCAGCAGTACACAAGGTACTCCAAAATTATTGAGAGTAATTATATAGAAATGAGACAAAATAGTCAGTTAATTATAGAAGTGATTTAAAAATGAACCATAATGGTTTAAAAAGAAAGAAACATGAAACTTAATCTTGCAAACAATGGCCAATGTATATGTGTGTGTGTTACGTTAAATGCTATATTAGTGGATACACATGTTTGGGCAGACATCCCGATTTTTAAAGAAAAAGGTTTATATCTACTGGCATGGACATTCAAGATGCTTAAAAACGAAATGGCACCTTCTGACTGCTTTTGGATTGACATTCATTTATAGTAATAAGAAATAATGTTGGATTATAAATAAAACCTATTAATTCTTTAGAAATTACTTTATATTAGGTCGCTACACATATAGGTTGTTTTTTTCTGATGTTCTGCAAATGATGAATAATCTTTGTAGCATTTTTTGATTCTTAGTAACTATAGTCATCCTGTGAAATTGTTGTCTAACATTATTGAAATTTTATTTCAGATTAGATGTTCCTTTGAGATGGAATGCCAAGTAGACAAGAATGATCATGTTTAACATCTTTGCTTTTAATTGAAGACATGAAGTGGCTTGAGACATTTGTGCCATGTACGGAGATGACTTCATTACCAACAGAATGGTACAGAAATGCTTTTTCTGGTTTCAAGAAGATGAAGTTTGAACTCACAGACTTTCTGTGTTCTGGCTAATATTTTTGATGAAAACCAATTGCATGTGCTGATTAAAAAAGAACAGTGCCAGACCCCTAGGGAACTGGTTCAGAAAATGGCAAGCTCTTATGTTCCTGTCACTTATCTTCACTCAATGGGAAAGGTCCAGAAACATGGCAACTGGGTGCTACATGCATTGACAGAGAAACAAAGTCTTATGCTCCTCCATTGCCACTAGTTTACTTGCACAACATCAGGCTACCCATGGATACAGCAAAAATTGGGAAGTTCTGTCACATCCATCTTATTCTCATGATTTAGCCCCTTTAGACTAACACCTTTTTCGGTCAATTTCTAACAATTTGAGGAGGTGTTTCATTCAACAACAATGTGGAGCTGAAAATGTGGCTTGATGAATTTTTCAAGTCAAAACCTCGTCATTTCTACTCATTGAATAGTTAATGGGTCATTGACAGGAGGTCATAAATAATGAAGAGGAATACATTGTTGAATGCTTCATAAGAACTATTGATAAATAAAATAAAATCAATAAAATAAATTATAAAAAACAAATTTCTGTAAAAAACCTATATAGGCATATATTTATTCAAACTTATATTGTTAAATGTAATAGACAACAAATGTCTATTATGTTTGATCATGAGCCGTTCTAAGCTTTGTTTAGTTGCTTTAATTTTGGGAGAAAATAAAAACTGTCGAACATTTGGATATTTTTTTTTATTATACTGTTCCTCGATCTAAGCTTTCAGCTCACATGAGCCATCTTCAGAGTGGTTATATGGACATTTCAAAGATATTCACCATCAAAGATGATATCTTGTTATATTATGTTTGATGGTGAATATCTTTGTTGAAATGTCCATTCATTGTCTGTTATATTGAACAATATATGATCTGCTGCCCCAATACACTATATATATATATATATATATATATATATATATATATATATATATGCGTGTGTGTGTGTGAAAAAATATTTTTTATTATAAAGCATGTGACAAGTCAAATATTTAAAATTAAAATGAAGAAAATGAATTTGGTTCAAGTAACATAAAGGGAACTGATACACTAAGCCAGAATATTGACATTGAAGTTCTGTAAAAATCTACTGACAACATTTGAGTTAATTCTGTTTATATCTTATTCTTGTACCAGTTTGTTAATATGTTAGTAAATCTTAACCATTTGCTTGCAGAAATTCAGAAAAAAGGGTTTTTCAGTGCTAAGGACAAAAGAGAAAATGGATTGAGGCCAGAGTTTTCAAGCTTAGTAAGCATAAACTAATATTATATACTAATAAAATCCCCACCTGTGCTACGAGGACATCTCCCAGATAAACTGTGTCCAAGTGCAACCAAATTTCATGAAAGTTAAGGACAATTTATTTCAAATATTAGCATATTTTGGGTGTTATAAGAGAGAAAAAAAAATTAAAGTAAGAAGCATTTATTATGAAAAAACAAAACAAAAACCAACCTAAAATGAAAGTGACAGTCATGAAAACAGTTTTGAATATTAACAGCCTCATCTGATAACTAACATAACTCAAGCCATAGAAAATTGTTTTCTCTTTGCATTTTTTTTTTAGTGAGGAACCAGTTTGGAGTGATTAGAAACAAAACACATTACTCACTTCATCTTTGCTAGATGCATAAACTACAAAGATGAGGATATTAGTCTGAGAGAGAAAAGGCAACAGAAGGGAGTTATCATTGCAGTGAAGAATATCCCATGTAGCAAATATCAAACCACACAAGGACAAGGTAATTTTTCTTTTCTAGTTTTATATTCATATTTTTAAGAGAAAAGTAATGGCTTGTGCATAATAATTTTAAAAAAAATCTCAGAAAATAAACACAAAATATTTTAGAGTAAAACAAATTTGTTAGAGAACAGAAACATCAGGTTAAAAAAAAAAAATTCAAAAGAAAAAAAAAAATCACAAAATTGGAAGGGTACATTTTACATTTTTTATAACAGATCAAATTTTCTTAAAATAGAATGGTCATTATTTATGACTGTGTACAAAAAAAAAAGAAAAAAAAAAACAACCAAAAACAAACCTGAACATTAAAAAGAATCTTACTATTAAGCTAAGAACCTTGCTTACAAACAGACTGAACATAGTTTTTATTAAAACAACTTAAAATTATTACATAATGCTTAGAAATAAGTTTACATTAAAAAGATATTAAGACTAATGACATAATAAACATTTTTACCAATGTTGTTAACAATGTAACTATATTAAGGCCATCTTGAAAATAATTTCTGTTTCTAATTAGAGAACAGAGAAACATCATTAATTATGAACAATTATGTAAAAAAAAAAAAAAATATTAATAATTCTTAATGATAGGAAAAGTAACTTTATCAAAAATTTGTTGGTGCAGTTTTATTACACAAAGACAGGAAAATCCCCTAAATTCTGATCCTGGATATTTTCCACATTAAAGAAATCAACAACATTATGCCATAAATGGTGTAATTATTAACCAATGGACTCGAGGCGCAGTACAAATCAGAGTAAGCAGGAAAATTAATTTTCATGATAATGGTCTGGGTGATGAAAACAAAAAAATGCAACTTTCTCACAATCATCTCCCTTGGACCTCACCAGGTAATTATTTATGTAGTGGGAATGAGTGAAAATCTAGTTGAAGAGGCAGGTATGTCACTAACTCAGTTTTGCTTATTTTAAGGTTATGTATTTCTGAATAGAAAAAAAAAAAAGAAAAGAATGATATAAGCAATACTTCATACATATCTCTTCAACAATATCTGCCTGGTGTGCAGTTTTATGGAACTAGTCATTAAAAAAGAAAAAAAAATTGTCATTATTTATGACAAACTGTGTAAGGAAATTTGACAAACAATACAGTAATAACATTGATATAATTAACAAAAATATTATCAGTAAGATTAACATGATTAACAATAGTGTCTGTTTTTTCCTAAAACAGCTCCAAAACAAGTCATGAGAAATGACTAAAGATGCATTAATATTTTAATGAACAATAATAATAATAATAATATCCTCTTTAGAAATGATTAATTATATAATCACCTGTTTACATTTTAGCTTTGCTAAAAACAATCCTACTTTGTAATAGGCACAGAGACATTAACCTGTAAATAAACTAATTATATTATGATTTAAATTATTATCATTATAATCCACATTATATGCAGTTTTATAAAAAGCAAAACCCTAATTTGGGGCTTAATAAAATATCTGCACACTCATCCTGAAAAATGTGTAGGTGGTTTCCATAGTGTCAAAAAATGTTAATCATAGAGTGTGTACAAGGGAGCAATATTTTTACCAACATTATCATCTTATTCTTCACCAATCTTTACCAACATTATCATCTTATTCAACTGATTATCAGTGCTACAGATATGTCAGTAGAGAAAAAAAATCATATTACTCTGAGAGAGGGTGCACCTATTAATAGGCATTAAAAATATATTAGCAAGGCATTATTATTCCTAAAATTAGTTTTGCTTATTACACATAAATATTCTGTTCATAGTTATAATAAAATATTTTTTAAATGAAAGGAAGTAAGGTCATTACTTATTATTTGATGTATTATTAAAATTATTAGCAACAATTTAGTTTTACTAGATTGGGAAATAGGTATTAAATATGGTTAATACTTATAAGAAATTGTAAGTTAGAGAGAATTACTAAAATGACAGAGTTTAGGTTTATTAAAATTAAAAAAAAAAAAGAATAAAACTTATCTTATCCTTTTAAAATGTAGATCTTGCAGAAGTCAAAAATGAAATGGCAAGTGGATATTTTTTTTCAAAAGCAAAATATGTCATCCATTTAACAGGGTATTACATATGCAAAAAAAAAAAAAAAAAAAAAAAAAAAAATAAAAAAAAAAACCCCAGGAAAAAAAATTATTGGTAGCAACCCAAATGATAATCAAGGCTGACCGCAGTTGGGATCTTACAGTCATTGAAAACTCCACAATCCTTTCAAGAATCAAGGCTGACTCAAATGACAAATGAATAATAAAAATAATGTATTTGGATGCTTTTCATGTGTCTGTTATATTTGTCTCCCATAATATGAACCCAATAATAATAATAATAATAAAGTGCAGATTGCCAGTAGAGGGTTGCAATGTGCTTCAAATACTGCTGGTCTAAATTTTTTTGTTATATATATATATATATATATATATATATATATATATATATATATATATGTGTGTGTGTGTGTGAACTGTTGTTGAAAGAAACAAAATCCCACAAAAGAAACAAAATACTGTCAAAAAGGAAGAAAGGGGGGAAAAAAATGGCTGCTGTTTTGGTAAAATTATTTATAGAAAATGCTCTTTTTCTTTATTACTATGAACATTAATAATGACATTTCCTGTTAGGAGGGGAAGGAGCAGTGATTATGCTTGAATTATTATTATTTTTTCTTCTTTGCATTAGGTAAATAAAAGAAAAAATTAAAAGCTTTTTAAAACCTTAAAATGCAAAATAGCTTTTTTCATTTTTTTTCTCCACTCAGTTGTTTTTTTCTCCAACTCCAAAGCTTTTTTTTTTTTTTTTTTTTTTATTCTCACAAGTTTTTCTGCCCCACACCCCACTCTTACCAAGGTTTTTTTTATTTTTTTTATTCGCCTAATTCTCTCAAAATCAATGACCAAATTATTTCTTCCCTTTCATATCAGGGAAACAACATTAAAACTTAATATTTAATTCTTATTCTCATTATTGTTGCTAGTGGAAGTGATCTCTTTGAAATTGAATTTCAACACTTTTTTTTTTTTCTTCCCCTTCCCCGCAAAAATTTTTTCAGTCTTTATTTTCATTATTATTTTTTTTCTTGTAATTTTCCAAAAGAGATAATGGGGCAGGGAAAAGGGACTAACTGAAATATCTATAAGATGTTTCACTGGTTAATTTTGTCTGTCTTTGAAGGAGGGCTTCTGTATATGCTTACACAACACATCCTTTTCTTCTTCTATGCACACATTAACATTTGCATATATCCACACATGCACACACACATGCACAACATATACACACTAATATATAAGAATATGCACACATTAGTATGTGTGCATGCATATGCACACAATATATATGCACAGGCACACACACACATTAATACATTTTACATACATACATACATACATACATACATACATACACATACATACATACATACTCACACACAAAATCATTTTTTGTTTTTATCTTCTTTTTGTCTTCCCATCAGAAAGCCTTCCCCATTTCTGTAACCTCTGTACAAGTTGCTTACTGACCGGAGGGATAGGGTAGGTGTCACGGATGTGTAGAATACCTTTCTGGATGAAGTTATATGTGTTAGTCAGAGTCCGTGGGTATTGCATATTAAATACCCAATAAGCTGAGAACAGGGCCGCAAACGCAATGGTAAATTCCTCAAATTCCTGAACAATCTGCTCCTCAGCAACAAGAAAAAACTCATCACTGTGAAAGATTGGACCCTTTGATAACAGCATTGGTACAATCCGGCCCTTAGGGTCTGGTTCTTCTCGGGTGCCTATCTCGTAAACCATCTCAGTAAGGTTTTCACGCATAAGGAGGGGTAGCAAGCAAAGTGCCGTGACCATATCCCAGTACTGTCGAAGCGCTACATTTTCTTCTTTTACCTCACTTGCTTGTTGCAAAATGGCATTTGAACCCGGGCAGTTACGTGCCAGTTCAATAATACCATTGGCATACTTGACACAATACTCCTGAATGGTGTGATCAATATCAAGGTCAGTGACCCGTTGAAATTCAACCAGTAATTCCTTATCCATAAATAAGTATGGATAGGTCTCTTTGATCATTGCAATGGTTGGGGCTTCAATTGTAATAAATGAACGGCGAACATCAAATGTATCCTCCATGTAAAGACGAATTTCTTCTGGCGATTTACTTTCAATGTTGTCCTTTGAAGAGGAGGACTTCAGTCTTTTTTCGTTTGGGTAGTCATCATTTTGGTCAGCCAGGTCAAGATCTTGGGAGACACTGGTTGACGGAGTGATGTTTTCAACATTTGAGGATTTCCGCTTGCCTCGTTGTGACATCATGGAAGGACTGAGGATTGGGAATTCTATATTTTCTCCTTGGAATTTGGCTGAAGAAACAAAGAAAGAAGAGGATGAGGACAATATACATTTTACTCATACATAATAAAAGAAACATTGTTATATATAATTTACCATTTTTATTCAATGTCAAATTAGTGTCTTTGTGCAATAATTTGATTAGTTTTGAATATCTTTAGACTGGGTTATGCAGCCTTGATGCAACCTGGCAAACAGAGAAGACCTTACTGCACATCTGCAAACATTGTTCTATGGAGTTACTCAATCAGCAACGTGATGCTGTTGGACAAGATTATATACAGTTTATCCCTCACATTTACAATAATGTTTTACTCTATAACCCTCTATCTCGAGTGGCTCTTGGGCCTTGTTAACATCATTGTTGAAAAAATAAATAAATAAAAAAAAAAAGATAAAAAAAAAGGACAACTATATAAATATATAAACTAAGTTTTGTGCAGGTTTTTTTTTAAACCAAATATTACATCACCCAGGTCTGTCAGGTTCTATTACAGATTTGGCTCCACGCCACTGAAAGGGGAAATATTAGATCATGGACGAGATTAAAGAGAATGTAGTGAAGCAGCTGATAGCAATCCTTATAGAGGCAGACTGTTTTGAAGTCAAGTGATGCTGGGATAAAATTGTGAGTTTCCAAGAGGAATACTTTGAAGGGAATTAAAGCAACATTGTCTGGAGGTAGTAATTGTATTTTTCTTAATATTAAATGGTTACAGCACTTCCAGACAGACCTCATGTAAACATTGAAAGGGAACAAAAGTTTTGATGTATTTGTTTAAACCTGTGATATGATGGGTTATATAAACAGCTAAGCATTATGCAAGTACACAAATACATCATTGAAACAACTGAATTGTTGCTTTTATTTTAAATGTTACACAATACCATGTTAAGAGAATTAGAAAGATAACAATTACTGAAACACTTTTAAGAATGGTTTCAAATTTTTCGTAAGGAGTGTTTAAGAATGGTTTATTTAGGAAACATGCATAAATTTTAAGTAGAAGGTTTTACTTTGCAATTTGTCAAGCTCAAAAATTTACACACCTGGCAACAACTTGGCCAGGATTTAATAAACTATAAAGCAAAGATTTTATATTTTTATCTGAGGGGATACAGAAAAATTCTTAGTTTGACCAAGAAACCTTTTGAGAATAAAATTTTAAAATATACTGTAATTCCCCATGTATATTATGCATTTTTTTTCCTAAAAAATAATGAGCAAAATCAAGAGTGCGTATTATGCACAGCCTGATGTTTGGTCAGATTTTGGGGAGTGAATCAGGTCCCCCTCCCTGTAATTAACAATGATCACAGCAAATAAAAGATAATTACTGGAAAGGGCAAAAAGATATTTTTCTTATAAAATAGGAAATTCAAATTAAACTTAATTCTGCCATGTAGATATATATTCAGAAATTAAGAAAGAAAAAAAAATGTGATAATTTTCATTCATAATTACTTAAAATATTAACCCATTCTTAACATAACAAACCAAGATTTACATAGGTAAAATAATTACTTATCATTAGAGACTTCACATTAAGGACTCCATCATCTGATTTCAGTTTTTGTCAAATTTTGAACATATGCCAAACAACCCTGATTTGTGCATGTTTTGTTTTTTAGAATCAAAGTATAAAATAAAATGTTTGGGATATTTGCAATATATAAAAGATGCTTGTAAAATGGTTCCTCAGCAGAAGGATGTCACCTGGACAGGGCAGTGGATATCATTACCAACATTATCTTTTGATTTTACTTAATTGAATAACATAGAAAATGACAATCACTAATGAATCAGTGGTCAGAAAATTAGGTTTTGGTGGCATTTTAAAGGTTTTCATCAGGTATAAATTACAAAGTAATCTTTATAGGAATTTATGATGCAATGGATAAAAGAAAAAAGAAAATAAAAATAAAAAGAATGCAAAAAGATATTTCAGGTTACCTACATGACATTTTTATTATACTTCTGCCACGGCTGCTGATGCAGTTGTGGTTACTGTCGTACTGACGACTGGATGGCTGAAAGAAGATCCTTCCACCCAAAGAAGGTCAGCGTGAATCACGCAGGACAATGAAAGACTGGACAGCAAAATAACCAAAGATCTTCAGAGATAGTCTTGAAGAAACATCAATCTGGAAGAAAGACAGAAAACAATTCAATTTTCTTTTAAATGTAGCATTTATATGACATTACAGATTTATTTTTAATCAAAGTTTATCATATTTGCCAGCCTGAGTTATTTAAGAAGCAACTGTTCATTGAAATGCAGCCATGCTCCAGTAGTACTATCAAAGTGTTATATTTGCATTGTTTTTATTTATTATTTAAATGCATGTCTTATATGACAGCAAATATAATAGTTCAAGGGAAAGAATTTACAAGTTAGAAAAAGATTATATGAGGTGATTGAGTTCAGGTGTCCCAAGTGACTTGGAGACAATTTTTTTTTTTTTTTTTTTTTTTTTAATATCATTTTTATTATTAAGCCTTGTTGATTTGTTGCATCTCCCAAAACCTAAAGGATATTTTCCCATGCATGGGTGGATGTAAACAGGATTAAAGCATTAGTTAACTTAGATATTCAGATAATGTAAACAACACTCAGATAAATTTTCAGTAAAATAGCAAAACCAGCAAATCAATTAACACTTCCGCTGCTAATTACAGAGATCTTTGTTTTTCTTATCTTGCTCCAGCTGGCTAAGTATGGAAACCTACGTTTTTTGCATACCACTGGTATGAGTGTCCCGTTGCGCCATCTATTGTAAAATATGGGAAATTCTAACTGTTCTATCATGCAAATTATTAGTCAGCCTCGATTTTTCTCTACGTCACGGTAGTTTCGTATCTAATTTGAAAATATTCCTGACGAAAATGCAGTTAGCATGTGGATGTTCCCAGCGCCCGTGACCTTGGGTCATACCAAGATGGCGGTGCCCATGAAACGAGCAGCGTGGCTGCCTGCGGAAGAGGTTTTGGCAGAAATATTTGCTGACGATGACTGAATCAGATCGATTTAGCAAAAATTCTGATTCTGATGATCCCGAGTACATGTGGTAGGATGGTAATGGTCGTGAAAGTGAAACTGACGGAAATATTAGTGATGATTTGAGCAATCACGGTGATGTTGACGTGAATGTTCATCATGGCCAAGGTGATGGTCAGCCTGTAGGCATAGGCGCCGCCGGTGTAGTAAATAATGCAATGCCTGCAGCACCTGGTGGGCCTGTTGCAATGCCTGCAGCATAGGCCTGGCCCTGCTGATCCTGGTAATGCTACACAGCCGGCTCCAGCCCATGGTAGATGAAATCAGGGCAGGAGAAATCAAAATCAGGTGGGGGACTGGATAAATATTGACAGACTTCCACATATGCATCACTTCACTGGCACTCCAGGCATATATATGCAGCCCAATGATCCAGGGTGTTGCCTTCAGTGGTTGAAAATGTTTCTCACGGATGACTTTGTAAACATTGTGTAAGAAACAAATAGATATACTCAACAATATTTCCAAGAACACGCCAATCTGAAACAGTATTCTCGCTGTCGCCGGTGGAAGGACTTGACAACGGAAAACTTTTGGCTGTTCTTGGCCCTCTGTTCAACACAGGAATAGTGAAAAAGCCTGAAATTCAGATGTACTGGAGCACTGATCGGAAAGTGGTGACTGTTTTATTCAGAGACCATGGCTAGGGATTAATTTCTTCACTTCAGTGACAATAATGCAGATCAGCACTACAAGATCCGTCCTGCTTATGATTACATTATAAACAGGTTCAAAGCTGTGTACACTCCTGCGGAAAAACTTCCCCTAGATGAAGGGATGCTCAAATGGCGTGGCCGTGTGAGATTTCGGGTCTATAATCCTCAGACACCTGACAAATATGGGATGAAAGGGTACATTGTTTCAAAGTCGAGTAATGGTTATGTCTGTAACTATGAACTCTATTGTGGTATTGGCAGAACAGTTCAGTAGATCTGTGGTGGACTTCTGGAGCACCTATATGGCTATAAAGTGTACTTGGACAACTATTACAACAGTGTCGCATTGGCCAAATTCTTTCTGGAAGATGAGCGGAAAGTTCATGTTTGTGGTACACTTTGGCTGAACCATGGTGCTCCTCGTGACCTGCAGCAGGAAGCTGATCACCTTCAGTGGGGACAGGTGACATTTCATAGGGATGGAGATGTGTTAGTGCTTGTGTGGAAGGACAAATGCCCAGTGAAAATGATCTCCACTCTCCATGACACTAGGATGGAAGATTCTGGTACTCAGGACAAGAACAATCAGCCAATTCGAAAACCTGCATGTGTGCTGGACTACAACAAACATATGTCAGGTGTTGACAAACTGGACCAGATGGCAAAATATTATCCCTGTACACGCAAAACCATCAAGGGGAGCAAGAAACTTGTGCTAGATTTGTTTGAATTGTGCATTGTGAACTCCCACATCCTGTACAACAAGGCAAATCCACAGAAAAAAACTTGCATTGCTGGATTTCAGGATGGAACTGATTTATGACATTCTTGCAGAATTTGGTCAGGCCGAGGCTGCCGCCCCCGACCATCATTCCTCTGACTCTGAAAATGAAGGGGAAGCTCCTCAAGTTGTGGTATGTTAAAGGGCACCTAAAATCGATCCTGCCAATCGCCTGGTTGGTGTAATGAAAGCTCATGACTTGGTAGAAATTCCACCAACAAATAAGAAAAGGTACCCTTCCAAGACATGCAGAGTCTGCAAAAAAGCTGGAAAACGCTCAGAAACAAGGTATTTCTGCAAAAAGTGTGAAGTCCCACTCCACAAAGGACAATGCTTCAAAAGATATCATGTATATACCCATTACTGATCTGGTAAGTCATTCCTAGGTATATCCATGAAAATGGAATGCTGTAAAACACACTGGTGCCAGTTTTCTGTGTAATAAAATATGTAGGTTGAAATTTGGCATTTTCTTTAAAAATGGCTGGACAGATGGAAGCAGCACTGGGCAAATGAGTAGCAGTGAAAGTGTTAAGGATTCAACGTTTGGTCAATCAAATGGAAGAGCATGACCTACATTTGTCTTCAAGTTGAGCCTATCTTTACCAATATAAGCAGAGGAGAATCAGTATTTAAACAGATAGCAGTATAGCAACAGAGATGAAGCAACTAGGAATGACACACCTGCAAGACATATTGGTGCCATAAAATTCCACTCACTGCTCCTGGATGAGAAATTTGACACAAGAACTTCCTACTGATTGATAATTGGATTTATTTGTAAGTATGAGCTTCACATACTAAAACTAAACACGCTACTGAAAAGCTTATATGTATGATTTATGATGGGTGCTTACCATTCCCACAACTAATTTCTCTGACAGAGACTCATCCTCTTTGTTTGTTCTGCCTAATAAATAGTTATTGTTTGTTCCATAAATCCATGTTTGTGTCTATTCATGTTTCTATAGTTAGCAGTGTTGCTACATTAGGGTTGATGAGAGAAATCATAGATATCACATCCTGTACAGATCTTTCACTAAATCTCAATATGAATTTTGCTTACCAAACAATTTTAAAATAATGAAATTCAGAAAATTGCATTTGCAAATCAAACCAAATATTGACTATTTTTGTCTATAATTTATGGTCAATGCAAATCTTTAGAGCAGCATAATGATGTACCTTGTTTACTTATGGAAGATGAATATACACACAGTAGATCAATAAGTCCCAAGCTGAAGACATCATTATTAGATGAATTTTGATCTGAAATTCTCACTTTATAATGATCACTGCATTAACAAGAAAGGAGATTCTATTGAAAAATGTTTTATAAAAATGTATTTTTTATCATTAGGCTACAGGCTTATTGATGTACCTACAAATTCGGTACACTGATTAGGAAAGATTATGTTGAAAAATAAGTAGTTATATCAAAGAAATGTTCTTGTCATCATTAGGTTGCAGACTTATGTGTCCATGTATAAGGCAATTATAAAATTTATGTAAAATTTATACTTAAAAATTTAAATAAAAATCCCTAACAAAAGTTGCAGATTAATTCTGATGTTTGGTTACATCTATCAGACATTTCTGACTCCAAAGGATCCTTCCATCAAATAATAAAATATAAATTATATAAAATTGAAAGAAAACATTAAAACATACAGATTACTTAGAAGCAAAAATAAATTTTATTCTTAAGGTATTGTAAAGAGCAAATAAACGGTTTCAAAAGTCATAAGTTTTGTACAACTAATTTTCAGCCACACAAAACAAAATCATGACTGACTGGTGATAAAAAAATGGGAATTTTTAAAGCAGTTTATTCAACTTGCAATACCTGCATTTTTAAAAAAACAAAAAACAAACAAAAAAACAAAATAACAGCATGTAACAGGGGGGCATTTTGACTGACGAGGTAAGTTGCCATTTTCTTCTGTACAGGTATGTATATTTGTCATTTAATCAAAGAGTGATTTCTGTAATAATTTATTTTAAGAGAACAAACCAAATGCTACTAATTCAAAATCTGAACAAAGGAAAGAAAAAATAGTTAAATATTCCTGATTCTTTTGTTGATACATTTGAAAAAATATTAAAAATGTAACTAAGTGTATAAAGCAGCAAATTGACTGACAAACCTTAATGTTGTATATGGATTGATATATTAAAACTCTACAGAATAGAGATTTAATTCACTGTCTGGGAACAATATTTCATGTTATTTTATTTATATGATCTTCATTAGAAAATAACTGGAAGAATATTTAAAAATGTATACAGCATACTGAGAATACATGAACTGAACAGGTGAGCAATGATGAGGTTTTAAGTGGAAAACAAAAAGACATTAAGAATCAGAAAGAGTTGAAATTTCTAGGGCACAATGAGGAAAAAGAGCTTAGAAAATTTGACACTCAAAGGACATATTGAAGGGACAGAGGAAAGTAGCAGTTAATCTACCTAACAAGCTTTGAAAAGAAAAAAAAAGACAAAAAAAAAAAAAAAAAAAAGAAAAAAAAGAAAATAAAAGAAGAAAAAAAAGACAAAAAAAAAAAGAAAAGAAAAAAAGAAAAAAAAAAGACAAAAAAAGAAAAAAAAAAAAAGATAAAAGAAAAAAAAAAGAAGCACAATAGCATTGCATGCTGTAAGGATTGAACTATCAGAAAATTGAAACTAAGAACTGACTTGCAAGCTATCACCTAATAGCAAGTAAATAAGGTATTGATATTCGCCAATAATAATTGTGAAATTAGCTGTTCCCATATAAGAAACTTTCGGCATTCATTAACCGAACTGTCAGTTCAAATTTATAAAATCTTTCTTAAAACAGTTCCTCAGGAAATTAGATTTCAAGTTCGCTAATTGTTATTGCTCATTCTGGTATTAATGAGTTTCCTTCCAAAACTTTTGTCTAAGGTAATTTGGAAAGTTATCATCTTGATTAAATCATTATCCCCCACCCCTTCTAGTTGCGTGTGCAACCAATTTTTGTTATCTGATAAAGCTCTGTCATTTTGTAGTACTTTTAAAGGATTCCAATCTTAGCTTAATATGACACAGGATCACAGGTATACGGTACCCAATGATGGCTGAACTCACCAGGGCAACTATAGTCTGCAAGAAAAGTTTTGTAACTATTACACTACATCAATAGGACACACAAAATGACTTGAACTCACTATTACTTGTTAAACTAGCTTTCTAAACATTCCTTCTTGTGTCAATATCAGTTTTGTGGAGGGTTTGCTTTGGAAATTTGAAATTCCAGAGAATAAAGTTTTCATAAAACTAGGAGGAAAAGTAGTTAAAGATTCAAAAGATCTAAAAATCAAGTAATTCTGATGAGACAAGAAAATTAAAGAAAAACCTTACCGTAACAGCTGGTTTCTTGAATTGTTATTAGAGAGACATTCTTCAAGTGGGTAAGCAAATTCGGGGTGATTTTTTTAGTTGTATTATCACTTCAATATTGTCTTCTCATTGTGTGAGATGAACAAAATCCTTGCCTAAAAAAGAAAAGAAAATTTCAATTATTTTGTAATTCGAATAGTTATTATTAATTATGCTTTATTTTGTTCATAGAAACTGAAAATCTGTATATGCTGTGTCCCTTCAGGACATAGGCAATCATAGCTCCCCACAACTTCCTATCCTCTGTAGCTCTAAATAAACTGTCTTTTTGTTATTTTTTGTAAACCTTGTTCTGCCATTCATTTACTCAAGCTAAGTAAGTTATGCGTTGTTTTCATCTGTCCTTCAATCTAGGATGTGAGTATTAGATTTTCCAAACCCTCTTTCCTCATTATGTACCCTAGAAATTTCAACTGTTTCTTCCTGATGTTAAGTATGTTTCCCTTTTCTTTCCATTTTCTCTAAAAGTTCATTATTGCTCACATGTTCAGTCCATGGCATTCTCAGCATCCTTCTGTAGAACCACATTTGTGTTGCTTCAAGTCTCATCATCTTTGAGGAGATTGTCCAGCATTAACTGCCATATTGGAGGACAGATATCACATAACAGTTAAGTACCCTTTTTTGTTTCTGACAAGGTTTTTCTGTTTCTTAATACTCTGCTTAGCTTTTAGAAAGCATCTTTGGCTATCACAATGTGCTTTCAGATTTCAGTGTTGCACTTTCTGTCCTCTGATAAAACACTTTCCAGATATTTAAATTTTTGTACTTATTTAATTTTAGTATAAGGAATGCGATATTTGTGCTCAGAATGATTTCAGAAAGAGCAATAGAAATGTCAACATATGTGTACCTGTGTTTTATCAGTTATGCAAATGAGTTTCATAAAGTATGCCACAAAGATCTGTTGACAATTTTTAGCAACCTTGACATATTTGGGAAGGATTTAAAATAATCAAGAACCTATACTGGCAACAAATCGCATGCATACTGTAGAAAATGAGTTCAGCAGATGTAAAAATAGAAAGGGGTGTAAGTCGAGGATGTTTCTTCTCAGCGGACTTATTCAACCTATACAGTGCAGCAATTTTGAATTAGAGATCCTACTAGGATTCGTTATTAGCAGCCACAATCTTAACATAAGATAGGCAGATAACACAGTATTGATAGTAGACATGGAAAGAAAACTACAAAAGCTTCTATGGAAGTGAAGGAAAGCGAGTCCAAATCCGGAAAGATATACTTTTTTTAATTTAAAAAGCTAAATACAAGAAAATATTAACTTACACTAGCAGCATGGCCCGGTGTTGCCCATGCATGATTAAAAAAAAAAAAAAAAAAAAAAAATCACACGACTCATACAGCAATTGCTATCACTTAAAATATTTTTGCCCCTCCTTGCCTTTAAAGTAGTGCCACCTTTGCCGTGCTGATGTTGCTACATGCCTTACTTCTTGGCTATCTCACACTGCAAATTATTTCTAAGCTCTATACTAAACATTAAATCTGTTACAAAAAAAAAAGAACTAAACAAAATGAACATAAAATGATCAGCTTTAAAAAAGGACTCATAACTGGAAAAATCAAATGAAAAAAGAATGTTAACATGCTTTTTCACACCCAACCCAGTTCCGTGGAATCAGAATCAATGTTGAGTTTAAGCAAGTGAATGAGCCAATTGGAGTAAAGTGCCATGCAGATTTAAATTTTTCCCACTTGTGATGAATGCAGCTATCGATTTTTTTTGCATGCTAGTTAACATTCATGTCAGTCAGCTATTGGCTCTCACGCTGGCCAATAGAATCTTCCTGCCTATTTGTGGCAGCCAGCTATAGGCTCTCTCTCTCTGGCCATTAGAAAATGGCTGCAAACTACATGAAAACTGCTGTAGAAGCATTAAAAATTCGATTATTTCCACTATCGATGGGAGTTGGGAAATGCAAAGTCAGTCTTGGCCTTCCCACTAACTTGGAGCATGTGCATGTAAATTTTGGTGCAAATCCATTGAAAATTGTGGCTGTGCATTCATTACACACACACACACACACACATCCTGCTTTTTTGTTGTGGAGTGATTTCACAGTGGAGGCTTGTATTTGTACTAAGTTGGTCCTAAAATAGATTTGACATACAAAACGTTAAGAACTTGATATAATAGGTATAACGCAGAGTAATCTAGTTGTGGTCGCTGATACTTTAGTATTCAACTAACAGTCGTCAGACATCGACTGACTGACTGACCACCTCACTGAGCGACTCATTACTCTTACTTATTATAGGTGAGAGAGTCTATCTACTATCTATATTTCTCATATTGTCTGTCATGGGCATTGTTACCTTGCCCAGGTCGCATTTCTCACCCGATTTCGATGCGGTTTTCAACACAAGTTTGCAAATGGCTGCCGTAAGGACATGACGGAGCCAGATTTTTGAGTTCGGAATCAGGTTGTGAAAAACATTGATAATCGAAAAAATTCTGCTTACAGAAGGAATAGTCGCATTTCAACCAAATTTGAGACCCTCTTAGAGTCTACCTTTAGAAGTATTGTCCAGAAGTTTCATGACCATGGGCCCCTAAACAGCGCGGAAAATCGATAAAACCCCCAAACCGATACGCCCAGATTGCGTCTGAACCGCATGTCGGTTTTTAGCGAAAACCCGAGCGGATTTATGAAGAGGCCATTGGGAGTCATCATGTGAAGTTTCAACTCTGAGCGCCCCCCAAACAGAGTGCAAATTGACAATCAGTCAACCCTTAAGATGTTTTTTCCGGTTTTTTAAAGCTGATCGTATTATGTTTATTTTGTTTAGTTCTTTTTTTGTAACAGATTTAATGTTTACTATAGAGCTTAGAAAAAGTTGGCAGTGTGAGATAGGCAAGAAGTAAGGCATTTAACATAATCAGCACGGCAAAGGGCACGCCTCTAAAGGCAAGGAAGGGCAAAAATATTTTAAGTCAAGTGATAGCGATTGCTGTATTAGTCGTACTATTTTTGAATCAAGCACGGGCAACGCCGGGCCATGCTGCTAGTTAACTATAGAATAGGTGTGTTCCACTATAACACTTTTATAGATATTCAAAAGTTCTGGTTTTAATAATATTCTCTCAGAGAAATTAGTTTTATGTTTTTAAATGAAAAATAAAGCTCAATGGCTTTTGGTTATTATCTTAAACCATCTCAAAGATATTTTAAAAAAAGATGAAATAAGTGTCTTTCAACTGAATGTAAACTTATAGCACATCATTTTCTATATAATGGTCATATAGTTCAAAAGTATTTCCCCTCTTTGTAAACAGATTTTTATTTAAATATGCACGGTTTATTTAAACATGCAAGGTTAATTTTAATGCCTCCAAAACTAAACTGCTCTCTTTTAATCATCTGAGAGAACACTTTTTACTTTCTGATGCTAACCTCCATTATGCCTACTTGGATGAAGGTTTTCTGCTGACATGAAGTGGAAAGACTATATATAAACCAATTGCTAAGTCTGCTGCTAGGAAAGTTGATTCACTGTGTCAAGCCAGACAATTTTTCTCACCTGAATCTATCTTACATATTTATAAGCCTACCATTCGTTCAGGCCTTGAACATTGCTGTCACATCTGGTTTGGTGTTCCTGTTATATATTTAGAGATCCCTGATAAAATCCAAAGAAGAATCTGCAATGTTATTCTTCCTGTCATCAAGGCTTCAGTCACTTTCCCACAGCTGTAACATAGCATCCCTGTGCCTTTTCTATAAATATTTTCATGGTAATTGTTCTGATGAACTTTCTTCTATGGTACATAGACTATGAATATAAGCGCAGTACTAGATTGGCAGCAAGGTCTCATGGTTTTACAGTTGAAATGGATAAATACAACTGTAAGTTCTTTGCTAACATTTTCTTCTATCGCACTTCTTGCTTGTGGAACTCTTGCTTCCTAGTTAACTTTGATTTAAAAAAAATTTAAATGCAATGTCAATCGTTGTCGACTGTTTTCTTAATTGTTGATATTTTATTTTCTTATTTCCATAATGGTCAGTGAATGTTGTCAAAATGGTCAAATGAGAATTTCTAAATTTATAGACCAGGTTCTGGATGGCCATATAGTACAGCTTATCAGTAAGATTGATGTACAGTATAGGCAGCAGTGACAGACCAAACAATGTTGACAGAATAGATCAAAGCAAATGTGGCTTCATGAGTGTTAACACAGACTGTTGGGAATCTTGCTTGCGGCAAGACTAAACATATGCTTCCATTTCGGCCTAAATACTGCCATGCGCCAAAATATTAACTCTTCATGTTCTTAAAAAGACTTTCAGATGAATGTCATGCATGGCATCCAACTCTTTCAAAAATGTCTAAACCAGTGTTTCCCTACCTTTTATTTTATTTTATTTTACTTCAGAACACACTTGTATAATAACTAAAACTTTGGAGGTGTACTTTAAATTCTCATAAAGAAAAATCAGTCAAGAAATTTGAAAATAATAAATGTTAATTTTGATTTAACATTCTGAAAGAAGATTAGTGGTACAGTTTTTTTTATTTAAAGGGATTTATGAAGAATCTATTTTTTTTTTTTTTTTTTTTTTTAGAAAGGCTGATAATGACTAATTTAAATCCCTTGGAGAAGACAAAAAGAGAAATGATTATTCACTCCTTAAAGATTAAGTAATATAGCATTCAGTTTAAAATATCAAATGACAAAGACTTGACTTAGAAGCCATGTGCTTGGTGTCTCTAGCTTTTTAAAAATAAATTTCTTTTTTAAATATAAAAATAATTCATAAATTACTCTTCTGTTAACTTGTGGCGCATCTAGTTATCTTTCAAGGTACATTAGTACATGTGGATACACTGGTTGAGAAACGCTGGTCTAAACTATCAACTATATACAACCGTTTTCTCAAATCAATGAAAAATGTCTTCAAGTGAATGAGACTTCCAGATTTTAAAGAAGACAGTCCTCACAGAATGGTATTACAGAGTCATAAAAACTTAACCAAATAACCAAAAAAATCAGCAGTAACAACTAAAATGGGAACCATTTCACTATAAGCAAAATAATGATATAATCAAGATTTTGACTTTCCATATGATCTTAAACAAAAGATTAGGAAGGAAGCTCCTGTCAATGATAGAAAGAGCAATAAGTGGCCTTTGAAAAATTCATTTTCCTTAAAAACTATTTTAAAAGAGAAAGGTTTTATAAAATTTGACCAACAGCAATGCTAACTGTCCAGTTAACAAATGTTGAATGTATTTTTTAATGGAAATGGCTAGTCTCACCATTACCTCTCCAGTGGTGGCATGACAAGGTCATCCGACTGGCATCTGTAGCTTCCAATGATCAGATTCTGCTTTTATGCAAGTGATAGTCATTTGCATGTACAACTTGAGGTAGCAGCATATAATTGTTGGCATCATCGTGTGGTATGTCATAAGTCACTTGGTGTTTGTGGATGGAATGTTGAACAGTGACATGTATGTCCAGACCATTGTTCAGCCTGTTCTGCTGTCATTTGTGCAACAGGAAAGTGATGATCTATTCTCCATGGGACATGATGGGACAATATCTGACAGACTGTTAACCCACCTACAACTCTTGTATTATATCAACAAGTGTAAGAGATGTGAAATAATGTATCACGGGATGGTATTTTCCGTCTGTACCATCATATGTATATGAGTAGAGGCTCGTGTTAACATCCAAGGAGAATATGCAGTGTATTAATATGGCAATTAATATTAATATGGGTTCTGAGTACTGTCGATACACCATTTAATTTGGAACCTATGCATATATCCACTCTCTGGTTTATGTTTTGGAAGCCTGCTTCACTGTGTTTTTCCACACCATTTCAATTTCAATTTCTTGGGATTATTATTAACACCTTTCTTAGTTCACTTTGGCTATCCTTTGTCACTAATCCCTTCAGTGCTCAGCTTAGTAACCTGCCTCATCCATGCATAGTTTTGTTATTAAAAAAAAAAATTGTAATCTTTGGATGGTCAGCAAAAAAAAAACAAATCCTGAGCAGGGATGACCAGATGTTTATACAACACCACCTTGTTAACTGTCAACAGACTCGATACTGCATATCCATCTGATCATAGAATAATCATTGTACCAGATATAGCTAATCTTAAGTATACACTGCTCAGGATTCACCAGTAGGAGGTCAAGACACTATGAACACCAGGAGTTATAAACATTGCTTTGAGCGCAATAAGGTTTATCAATATAGACAACAGTTCAGCTGTTGTGTGTGTGTGTGTGTGTGTGTGTATATATATATATATATATATATATATATATATATATATATATATATATATATATATATATATATATATATATATCTCTTCATTTACTCAACCTTATATTACTTGTATATTTAATTTTGTACAACTGGAAATACATGTTCATGGGTTATTTTATTTTCTGTCAATGTATGGATACACATTAAATTTTTATATACAAGTAGGTATTGAAAATCCTCAGTCAAACCAAAAAGAAATTTGAAAAATATCTGATGTTTGGTCAGATTTTGAAAGGTGGATCGAACAATAACTTTTCAGCACCTCTTCATATATTTGAATCTGTACAGGATAGTTGAATAAAACACAATATTTAATACAAACACTTTGGATGTTTATTCATTGAGAAGATAAAGATGACAAGAGAGAAGGGAAATATTTCTCTAAAGGATCGCTGTGTTTTGAAAATATTTTGAAAATTATGAATGATTTTTACGTTGAACAGATTAATAAATTTAGTGGTTAAACCAATATTTGATGCAGCAAAGTTTTTTTTTTTTTTTTTTTTAAACTTTTTATTAGAAAGATATAAATCTTTATCATCTATTTTGCAAACATGTCTTAAGGATATGCATGAAGCAAGTCTATATATGTCAGGCACACATATGAAGGCTTGTTTGAAGACCAACAAAATTTCTTTAAAATTATTTTCATTCAACTTTTCTTTGGTTTAGACCATTTTTCTGTTATCAGTGAGAATTTGAACATAAATTATGCAACATTTTCAACTGCTTTCAGCTCTGACATGTAATTATCAAAGAATTTTTTGTGGGTTGACAGAATTGTACTTATGGCCATATCCCATTAAAACACTGGTTCTTGTCCAATCACTGAAGTTAAGCTATGTTGAGACTGGTCAGTAGTGAGATGGGTGACCACTGAGGAATACCAGGTGTTGTAAGCTACATGACAGGCCAAGCAAGCTACTGATAGATACGATCTCGCTACTTATACTAACAGAAGACTGCTATATGTGGAGGTAATGATGGACTGATAGGACTGGAGTTTGGTGAGTAAGATTGAAGTTAGTCAAGAGAGAGTTATGTCTCTAGATATGAATTAGGTTTCTTTGATTGTGTTTGAATGTCATGTCATCAGCATGTTACTTGTTAAATATATTCAGTATGTTTACTCCTAAATTGAATTAAATTTTATAGATGTTGGTTTGATTTTTTATTATAATTAAGGCTTCTAGTATTTCTAGTTGGTTTTTACAGTTTATATGGCATAACATTTTGGTATTATTGATAAACAAGTGTTTATTATCAAATAAATAAGTTAACAATACAGTGACTACGTAACTAAATGTGTTGTTTGAATTGTTGTTTTATTAGGCATTCTTTAGGTAGGTAAGCAGATTTGCAGATATTTTTGTTGTATCTCTGGTGGAGATTATGTTAGAGATTTTGAATTTTTTTTTTGTTGTTAAAAAAAAAAAAAAAAAAAAAAAAAAAAAAAAAAAAAAAAAAAATACAAACAAAAAACTAATACATTCAGTGGCATGTGAAGACATGACACTTGAATACCACCAATGAAACCCTGTATATTTATATACACAACTTAATTAAGTCAAAAATAAATTCTTTGATAATGGCTTATAAAAGCTAAAAGCACTCATAAGACATTGGGTAATTTATGTTCTAAACATTTTTGTAAATGGTCAGAAACCGAAGAGAAAAAAAAAAAAAAAGAAAGAATAAAAAATCTTTTGCTGGTTTTCAACCAAACCTAAATAAGTGAAAAACTTACCTAAATACATTTATTTAAAATATATAGCAATTTACTAAGCAGGGGTTAATTGTGGCACAAGGCCAAAAGTATGATGCACCCAGTGAGGATCAAACTCACTCTTATTTCCAACGTTATTTTCAATCTTAAATGTTAATCTGAGCTTAAATTCAAATTTAAACTACAATTCATTTAAATATTTTAACTCCAATAATTTTTCACCTCAACAATAATATACCTTGTGTGAACCAGAAAAGAAAAAAAAGTGTCAATCCAAAATATAAATAAAAATAAATATTTCCAGCACTTGAATATTGCTTTGGCATGAGTTATGCAATTACTGTAAGATGTGTGTGTGTGTGTGTGTGTGTGTGTGTGTGTATATATATATATATATATATATATATATATATATTAGTTTATGCAAATTTAGGTAATCCGTATGGGTAGACCTGAGGAGGATGATATCCAGAGAGCTCAATGTAAAATTCAGAGCAGATATGTTTGAATAAAAGACAGACCACGTTAAGATTCCATGTAATAAGCTATTTCACCATAACCCTTTAACAGGGTTCTGGATCATCAGACTTTACTTCCAAAAGCTGAAATGAAAAATGAAAAAGAAATTCACACGTTTTTACGGACCTCATCAAGTATACGCAAAGTTAGCGAAGTGAGGAAGTGAGGTGGGGAGAGAGGATATGAGTGTGTCATATGTATCATTTTAGTTTCCTATTTTAACCCCAGTGTGTCGGCTGGATGTTACTCGAATCTAACGCGTCTCGTCTCTAGATAAAGGTGGTTAAGGGGTTAGCGATAAGGACTACATTAAGGAAGACGTTCCAACAACCCCAATAAATTACACGACAGGTTTCATTCAAATTCTTACTTTAACGTGCATATTTGGGAGGTTATGGTTTGATAAATATCTAAATTTTAAAGACACTCTACGAAGAAATTAATTTGAAATTCGGTGGAGTTTTGAGTATTTTCTATGAAGCAGTCGATTGGAAAAAAACCCATAGACAGAACATTGAAAGAGTAATCCCATTTATATTTAGTACTTTTTTCCACTAAAACTTTTATCTTATAGCTTGTTAGGTTGACATTTATTCGTTTGATTTTTGTTCATTAAGTAAACTCGTGATTGTTTTTTGATTTTTTGTAAACTTGATTGTTTTTGATTTTTGTTCATTAAGTAAACTCGTGATTGTTTTTGATTTTTGTTCATTAAGTAAACTCGTGATTGTTTTTGATTTTTGTTCATTAAGTAAACTCGTGGTTGTTTTTATGTATCCAATTATCAACAGTTATTCCCATTTAAATAATTTTATTTTCCACATTGGGGAATCAATCTCAATTAAAATACTAATCTAACACTTTCCCTTCATGCTATTTAGAATTCACTTCCAATTGGAGAATATTAGAGGAGAAATTTGGAAGAGATGTCACTAGCAGAAAATTAGGCCCTTCTTTTACATTTTCTAATCTACACATGCCTTAAACCCCTATTTTAACCACATACCTATATCGTCTTATATGCCTATGAGTTTCTATGTACACCTACACACACATTCACAGCTAAACGATATATGTATATTTCCATCTTTACACATATACACCTGCAGAGAAAAACGCACATCCCACATGTCTCCATACCTATCTCTATGTATACTTATACTTACATATATACATATACACACAAGGACATCTGCATATCCATATATACTCGTACGCCCACATATATATCTACACATCCATATGTATACACATATACACATACATACATATACACACACATGCATACGTAATCTGCAGAATATCTACATACCCACATATGCGTTAATTTGCACTTACATATATCTATCCACGTATCTGTCCCTATTCTCATGTCCACCTGTGCATCCACTTATGCCTGCGTTCGAAGACTATCTCATTATTTAATTATATTATCTATGTCTTTACACCTATAATATTACCCGATTTTTCATATTTATGGCAAAACATAAGTACCTAACTAATTGTACATCTCCACACTCACAAAAAAAAAAAAAACAAAAAAAAAACCTGTCGTGTAATTTATTGGGGTTGTTGGAACTTCTTCCTTAATGTAGTCCTTATCGCTAACCCCTTAACCACCTTTATTTAGAGATGAGACGCGTTAGATTTGAGTAACATCCAGCCGACACACTGGGGTTAAAATAGGAAACTAAAATGATAAATAAAAACCTCAAATTCTCAAGACCGTCTATCAAAATCAACCAACTAATTTCAGCAAAATTTATTACAAATATAGCAACAATATATTGAAGTACATATAACATTTATATACTAATACCATTTTAAATTTCTACCAATTCCTGGTCAGCTCAATTATATTGAAACACTGGTTTTGTAAAAAGAAATTACATAACTATATTGGATACATTTAAAAATTCTAAAATAACTATAACAGAGCATGTTTGCATGTGTTTTTAAAAAAAATATGGCACCTTCCATGATGGATTTCATCATAATATGTCTATATTATTTATATCGTTCAATGAAACATGTTTGAATGAAGATATCCTGACTATACACAGTTATGTGCAAATGTCTGAACATTTTGAATTATTGTAAATTTCTCATGATTGCTAAATTATAAATGTATATTTCCCTTCACATTTTCTACAAATGAAACAGTGTCTTCATTGAAGCTATATTCATACCTAATTATGATATTCTATAACAAAGGGTTTTTGAATGAGTCTGAAAGCAAACCCAAAATAATGGCCGTACAAAAGTTTTCCAATATTACACAAATGAAACCAAATACAGCGTATTAAAGCAGGAAAAATGTCTAATGAATATTTCTTAAACAATATTCATTTCAAGAAGATACTGTACATTGTTAATATTTTGTATGGTTTTCTTTAACTTGTATAATTGCATTCAAACCCCAAGAAGTTGGGGATTCTTACAGATCCTTTACCACTTTCACAGGTATGAAATGTCATTCCTTATGATTGAGCTTCCATAACTCTTCAAGATTGTAGGTTCTCTTTAGTTCTGTTCACATTTGTTCTATAATATTTAAGGCAAGAGCTCCAAGCTGACCAATCTTTCAATATAGTTACACGTTTATCAACTCAGTAGTGTTGTATACACTCTGAGATATGGAGATCTGTCTATGCTGAAAAATCTCATCTTCATACAAATCGGTTATCAAATGGTCTTTCAGCAACTATGTATTGGGTGCTGTTCAAGCTAGCACCAATTTTAACCAATTTTCTTGAAACATCATTTTTTTTATGTATCCACAAAGCATCAGACAATTAGCCTAAATTCCACTGTTTTCTTCCAGCAATCTGTTTATTTTCACTTTCTTGTAGGCCAAATGATAAGTTCTCACTTATTAGAATGCAGCTCTATTTTAGTTTCATCGTTGAAGTTGATCTTATTCCAAATATCTAGATCCTATATTTCATAATTCTTTTTCAAACTTACTTTTGCCTTCAAATGCTTTTTGTTTAATGCTAGTTTCTTAGCTGAAATACAACACTTTAGTCAATGTTGTTGAAGTTATATTTACAGGCACCTACTGATGTCAATCTGACAAGTTACATTCTCTTGTTTTGTCTTCTTTGATTAGTTTCTGTACATTCCTATGCTGAAGTTTTAGAGAGTGACCACAGGAAGGTTGATCTGAAACACAAAGTGTTTTGAAACTTCAAGAGGATTTATGAAAAATCTTTTTAGTTCATTAACTGCTGCTTGCTGGTACATATTCCATCTTTTCCATTTTATATCCTGCTTTCTTTGGGATTTTTTATCAGGCAAGGAAAGTATACAGAATTTATCCTATACATATAGGAAAAACAAAATTGGTCCAGTTCATTTGTCTTCTAGCGGTGAAACAGAAAAGAGAAAACAAAAAAATCAGGTGTCTGAATAATTATGAATAGCTATTTTGGGGTGTTGTCTTGCATCTTTCCTCATTCTGAACCCTTGCAAAAAAAAAAAGGAAAAAAAGACAATTGGGTGTGAAAACGACTCCAATAAGATCAAGGTTTCATCCAAAAAAATATTCACTGAGGTACGGCAATTATTAGAAACTTCCAATAGTATAAAATGACTAAAGTATATCTTATATACACATTAATAAACCTATAATTACCAGCATCTGTATATAGATTTATGCTTATGACTAAGCACAACTTATTCTGTCACAAAGTCACAGTAGTAAGATTCCCATTAGGATTAATCTTGCTACACTAACAAATTTCTTATCCTCATACTATTTTAGTCACCTTGTTTACATTTCTCTTGGGAAAGTGAGCAAGAATTTACTCACATTTCAGAAAACAGAAATGAAAGTGAAAGAAAAAAAAAAAAAAAAAAAAAAAAAAATGGATAAAGTATCAATTAAAAATATGAAGAGAAAGAGAAGTAAAAGGAAAACAGTGTGTGGAGAGACAGAAACTGTTGAGAGAGTGAGAGAGAGAGAGAGATGAGAAACTGAAACTGTGGGGGAGCAACAGAAATAAAAGAGAACCCATGGGAAGGAGAGAAACAGTAGTAAAGAAAGAAAAAATGTAACAGAAATAGTAGCAGAGAGAGAGAGAGAGAGAGAGAGAGGGGGAGCTTACATGGAAGTAAAGGACAGAGAGAGAACTAGGCAAAGATGAAAATTGAAATATCCAAAATCTAGTATTGCCAGTTTCATACCAGCTGATTGCAAGGCAAATATAAGCTGGCATATACAGATTTATACAGGATTGATACCATGATTTTTCCTGTAAAAATGTTGGTTCTTAAAGTGTGTGTGTGTGTGTGTGTGAGAGTGAATGAGAGAAGAAAAAAAAGTTCATTCATATATTGATGAAACCATAATATAAGCAGAGTTAATTCTATGTCTTAGTAAGTCTGCTGTGTCAATAATATTAAATGAAGCAAAAGTGTAGAATTATGCAAGAAAGACTACTTAATTTTTTAAATGAAGCATTATCAATTATTTTATGACTAGTTTTGTTTTCATCTAATTTCTATTAATTTTTAAAGTTCAGTCATTCTCTAGCTGTTAATCAAGAGTTTGGTCCAGGGGGAAAAAAAACCTCCATAAGTATGCCTTGGGATTATTCTGTATATTCTAAATTTCACAGAATGTTTGTTTTGATAAAATGTAACTCAATATATAACAGATACTAGTCAACAATTAATAATGCTTCACACAAAATCTAACAAACAAATATACCTGTGTGCATATATTTTGTATATATTATTACTATAAGCATTATATTTAGTAAGTACATATGCTTGAGTAGACACTCATTTTTATTGGGCTTACTAAAGAAAATATACCTCTTGATAGGAATTGAACGTGTATGAACTTGATCATGGGAAACCAGCTTCAAACTGGCTATGCTTTATCAATAAACTACAAGAAGCTGTTACAAGTGTGTCAGATAAAAACCTCCATTAATTATATATATATATATCTCTTTATTCAAGAAACTGATTAGAAGGCCAGAAAAGATAATTATAAAAATAATGAGATATGTCTATATTATTCCATGAAACATGCTTGAACACACAATACTACTCAAAAGTTTAAGGTTTTTCAGCAGAGCACACACAAAAATAATTTGCTATGAATTTTTGACAAAGTTTATCAACAGGCTGGGTCACAAGGAGATTGAAGGTAAAGTTGAAACTATATTACAATAACATTTTCATGATTATTTCCAAATATTTTAAGTAACTCCCATTCTCTCTCCCTCCCTTATATATATATATATATATATATATATATATATATATATATATATTAGTTTTAAGGTATGCTATATTTATGGTTAAAAGTGCTCAATATCAAGGATGAAGTGTATGTAAATATAAATGTGTACACTGAGGCCAACATTGAAGGCAACAATCTATTACATGCAATATTCAGGCCATGTGTTGGCTCAACTATTTATATATGCTGGTTAATGGTGCATTATATGTAGCAAGGTCTACTGCACTATCTTAATGGTTGTTGGGTAGGTGGTAACAGTTATATATTTCAAGTTATTCTAGAGGCTATTGAGCAGAAATAATTGTGAATCTGAATGCGGTGATTTGTAGCTACTTTATAGTATTTGTTAAATTTTTACTCATTATTATTGATTACTTAATTATTACATACATACATATGTAGCTAGAGAGGCTCCAAAAGTGAGGCCTCTAATCTAGTTATGTAAAAGTACCAGAAGGACAATAACACTGTTAGACAGAGCAAGTTTTAGCAACAAAATATTGTTTTTGTTTTCTCTACAGTGCCACTACTATTGGTTATGCTTGAAGTGCTGAGAAGTGCTCTTCATTTCATGTGTTGACAGTTGTACAGGGCTACTCAGAACATAACTTGTTACATACATCACCATAGCCACTGTTGACTTATGTCACCCATAATCTAACTGTGCTTGCATCCGCCATTTAGTCTCTAGAAATGTTCAAACTTTGATGAATGTCACTGTTCACAATTATTTCCACATAGAGGAAATTAATGACACATTTTGTTTTCGTATGCAATTTCATATCTGTAGCTATTTGGCCAGATTACCATCTGTAACAAGGTAAAAATCATGGATTATTGATGGGAAGGTTCAACTGTTGCTACCAATGACACCAGAATCTGCATTTTGTTGCTGCGGGTCGACATCATAAAAGAAGAGACATTATTTTTTGAAGTGAATCGTTTATGTGTGATAATAAAAGTATTACATATCTCTAGGTACCTCCACTCAGTTTTGATACCTTAGTTTAAAATGAAATTTTAAAAATGAAAATACATTCTTGAAGCTTTCTTTTTAGCTTTAATGATTACATTTACTATTTCCAGTAAGCAAAATACTCTTATGTATTTCAAATAGAAATTATATTGATTAGAATCTCAACTTTTTGCTCGCTTTTGTTTAAATTCAGCCACTTTTGACACATTTGTAAACAAAATTTAATTCTGGGTTTTAAAAATCTTCCCAAAATACAATACATTTTTCTGAAACTTTATTTGAAAAATATTAGCTGATTTAAAGTTTAATTAATCGAATTTGAAACAAATATTATATACTTTAATTTTAAAATAACAGAGAAATGAATTTTTAAACAGTAGTGCAATTAAGTGCTTGTTAACACCTTGTAAATCACTTGATGAAATGCTGACACTTATTATTGTTCTAAATAGACCTTATCTGTTAAAACATAATTTAAGAAAATGACTGGTGAACACTTTTCTATATAATTTTTAAGTACTCAGTAATCTTAAAAATGTTCTCTGTAATTTAATTTTAGCAACGTTGAATTTAAATTTACAAAAGCCATCACTCTTATTTCTGATTATGTCATGTATTGTCACCATACTTTCAAACAGAGGCATGTTAGGTATCCATAAAAAAAAAAAAAAAAAAAAAAAAAAAAAAATTGTAAAAACTAAACCAAAACGACTTTTAATGAACTTTTCAATTTTTGATCCGTGAATAGTTTTCATCTAACAATATCACCTAATCACCTTGAAGTAATGCAGAATTTTATAAAATAAATGATATAATTAAAATTTAAAAAAAAATGAAATTAATTCTTGTAAAAATTAGTTATTCATTTGGGAGGGGGATTTTCTTAAGACAATAGTATCCTTAAATGTTATTTATAAAAGCAATTAAAAGCTTTAATTAAATAATATAGTTTGATTGAATTTTTTACAATTTAGAGCACATTTTTGGTTAATGGGCGAGCTGTTTTACAAAAAAAATAAAAAAAAAAAAAAAATGATTTAAATTCTTGAAGGAGTCCCGCTTTTAACTAAAACAAATTTTTGCCCTAAAATTTAATTTCTTGAAATTCCATGAAACTAAGTAAGTTAACATATGTTAAAAAAAAAAAAAAAAAGTTTCAAAAGTAATTTAATTCATTTGTGAATAATTCCTGAAAGTTTCATTAAAATCCAATTATTTGATTTTTGCAAGAAGTTCCAATTTAGTATGTTTTTCACAGGAAAAAAAAAGCACAAAAACATTAATCGTAATTATTATGTCAACTGCTGGCATAAACAAAACAAGATTTTTAACCAATATTTCGAATGTGCTAGAAAAAAATCAAATCAAAAATACTTTGATCTTTCCTCTTAATAATAGCAAAAAATTTGACAATAAAATTTGTTGTTTGGGGCCTTTTTTCATCATGCTATGCTGTTTTTCAGTGTAAGTACCTACTTATCTCCAATCAGAGTTTTACTTTTATAGATCTTGAAATCTGCTCATCAGGAAAGAAAAAGTACTTTTGATTTAATTTCACACACCATACTTTAAAAAATAAGAAATAAGGGAGAAAATAAATTTATTTGAATTTGTTTTTCTTAAGAGCATTAATTTGTAACACAAGTTTATTTTGAATTTATTTTCAGTCATATGTAAACCAACTATTTCCACTTTGGACAAAAAAAAAAAAAAAAAAAAAAAAAAAAATGTTAATTCAGTGAAGACATTTTAGAATTTATAACTATTTTTTATATATATATATATATATATATATATATATATATATATATATATATATTGTTACGTTTGATAATTGTAACAAAAAAAAAATTATTTACCACAACACAGAGCTAAATCACAAACAAATATTTAATTTACTAAAACAGATCAAAAATATATACAAGATAAACAATTGTGGCCTACAAAACAGAAAACACAGAGTTACAGGCGAAGTGTTATGAGAGAGGAGGAAGGTGAGTCAAATATCTTTATCACTTTAGGGCTAGTGAAGTAATCTAAGTGCTATATTTGGAAATCCACAAAGGTGTGTAAATAAATATTAATTTTTAGTTTGGTCAATGAAAATTAGTCAAAATTCTATTTACCAACTTTGTTCCATGAAATTCTCTTTTGGGTTTTGGTTGGTCGGCAACTTTTTATAGAGATTCTTTCGGCTGGATATAATAGTCCTTGAATCAAAAGCCGGAGTTGATACTGACAGCAATCTGTTTTCACCAACTGACAACCCTTTTCCAAAATCCCATTTTTATAGGGGCTAACACCTAATTTGCATTTTTCTAGATGTTTCTCGAATCATCTAGATTTTTCTCAAATATACTAGAATGATCTAGAATCTTCCAAACATTCTATTTCTAATTTCTCTATTTTACAACTACTTCATGAATGAAAACTTTTTTGTAATAACAAGTAGAACTCAAAGGAATCCCTTTTTATAGAAATGCATCCTCGTAACAATATATATGTGAAAATATAGAAAATAGGAAGGAACCGGTTAGGTAAATAATCCAAAGTCCCTTAGTATTTTAGTTATTATTTTTAAAAAATAGTGCTCGATACAAAAGTTGAGCATAAATATAATTATTTATTTAAAAATATGATTCCAAATCGCTACATAAGAGGTCTCATGTTTCAAAAGAAGAGCCGAAAACTTCAATATAATCCTTTAAATTAAATTGAGTTTAAATTAAAATGGGCTCCGTTCCATCTTCAAGCGAACAAAAATTTCGCTTGAAGATGGAATGGAGCCCATTTTAATTTAAACTCAATTTTATATATATATATAAATAAAATCTAGTGTCGGTGACAAAACTAACCTGGCTGTGCATCTTGAAATGGACCTCCAATCAGTTGTTAATTGGGGCAAGAATTGGCTGGTCAACTTTAACGCCTCAAAAACTAAACTACTCTCTATTAATCACTAGAGAGATCCTTCCCTGCACCCCCAT